ACCATTTTCTTTCAAAAATGACACATTATTTAACATTTAAAGATAAATTGCTGCATAACTGTAAGTTTTTTGCTGACAACTATGCTAGAAACAAACATAAACAAGAAATTTCAAAATTGGTTTGCAAGGAAAGCAAATCTGAATTTTTAAAATTTACATGGTTTTTCAATCAGATATCCCAAGAGGAATAAAGTGTTGTTTCCAGTCTGTATCATCAAAGGGCAATTTAATCCGATGTAAACACCTAAGAAATGTAATGTTATGCTTGAGGGAAGTTCTTCATTGGCAATCGGCTACATGGAATTTATCACAGGTGAGCTGCAGAGGAATAGGCATTGTCTACCCCAGCAATAAGCTTCAGATCAAAAGTTCTAGCAAGTATCTCAGTTGGTACAATGGCTAATCTGAGAAAGGCATCAGAAGCCCAGGTGGAAAAAACGTGTGCAGTCCCCTGTTTAAGTTTGCTTCTCTCAATTCCGAAAGACCAGCAGGTACAGTAATGAGACACTGAAGGGCCTCAGATAATCCTTGAGGAGCAAATAATAATCCATACATCTTTTCAGCATTTTTTCAGAGAAATGTAAATGGAACAGTTTCTCTAAATGACAAAATAACATTAAAGTTGCTTACACCTCATCCTAGGAGGCATCTCTCTGGGAGGACATTTTGTAAATGTCTTGTAACTATATTTCTTTTGATCATCTTTAGATGCCAGCTCAGGTTAACATCTCCAAAGGCTGCTGCTTCGGAGTGTGGACCCCATAATGCTCCACACCACCCATGTATCTTGATCGTCCTCTCCTACCTACTTCAGTTCCACCCAACTCATGGTGAAATGAGACTTTACCTTCCATTTGCCTCATGTGCCTACTACAATTTTCGTAGACATTAATTTGGTAGTCTTTATTAAAAATACTTTAAATCATTAATAAATATTCTTAGATACAATATCCAGAATGTATCAAAGTCCAAAAAAGAGAGAGATTTGAGAGATTTATGCCTCTGCAAACTCCTATTAGCAGTCTTTATTTTCATGATGGATTGGTAACTACTAATAAATCATCTTTAAGTGACCGAATAAGTAAAATTGTAATTCTTCCACATGACAGAATGAGATGCAAGCAGTGTCATCCATTGGGTAAACAATTTTATGCCAATGGAAAATTTTTTTGACGTGTTGTAGGTGAGTAGTTGAAATTAGAAGCCAAATGTGCTCCATGACCCCATCTTCACTGTGTAAGAAGTTAAAGTACTGACCCACTAATATGAATATTCACATGTAGAAAAAAGCCCTGCAAGTTTTCTGTAGAGCAAGTTTCTGTTTTGTAACATGATATATTCTTTTCTACTTTTTCTTTCAATTTTCCTAAAATAATGAAATTCAATTTCCAACCATGAACATTATTTATTCTTCAGTAAGAAAAATTAAGTGATATTAAATATCATGTCTGTCTTAGATGAACCTTCTAAATATGTACAAAATACCAAATTCATTTAATAAAATATTTACAACACTCATAGATTTCTGTAAAGCATATTTTTTCAAATGATCTTACTATCTTATATTCTCCTGTAAAAGTTCTGGTGTGAATTCATACTGTAGAGGAAATAAGTGACTTCATAGCTTCACAATTTAAATAGTGTCAATGTGCTAACAATTCTGGTATACACCTCCAATCTGCGGTCTCCACTGAATGGGGGAGTCACCTTCTTGGATGTCTAGGAGACTCTATAGAGTGTAGGAAACCACACAGGTGCACCTGCTCCTCTTCCAGAATTCCTTTGTTCACTTAATGACAAGATCATCCTTCCATACCTAGTTGGAACTAGCCACATACCAGGAATTTAACAAGTACACATTGAATAATTTTAACATAGTAATTATTACAGCACGTTAAAAGTGGCAGTTTCAAGGTCAAACCTCACCCATGTGTTTAGTGATTAATTGTGGAAGTTATGGGGTGGAAAATGAGGTCAGACCAGTAGCAAGCCAAGAAGACAGGTGTTTGGAACTAACATAAAGAGACAATTTTTCCTGTAAAATGAATAAGACTAGCTTATTTCCATATGCATATCTATGGACAAAAAGGCAAGAGAAGCATTTATCTCTACTATTAAATGTGTTTTTGGTACAACACATGAAATGCACTAAACATTGTTACAATAAAAGAGTTGTATCCAAACACTGTGATTATTTAAAACTGTGGATTCCCCTCTGAAATATGATCCAGTGTCTCCATCTCCGTCCTCTCTTGGCCTATACTATTCTCTAATGGATAAATTCTATCCGCAACTTTCAGTACATTCTGTATAGCTGACACTGTGAGGATTGTGTTACTTGGCCCTTGATATCACACGGCACACAGCAGCCCTAGCATGGGCTCACACATATTACCAGCAGTCAGAAGTCAGTCAAAAATCAAAACTTCTCTATCTGTAGAAGAGTCGGTCTATGAAAGAGTATGTTTTGAGGCAAAGAAGGTTGATATTTTAGTGACACATGTTCAAAATATGACTTCCTGCTATCCTCTACAAAACCTAATTTTCAATCATACTCTCCGAGTAGACTTTAAAAAGATAGACCTCAAAAATGGCATTATATTTGATATTCTCTTGTAACCCCAGAATAAAATTTAAGTATGAATAAATGGAGATCAGCACTCTTATAAAGATGAAAGAATGAGACTCAATCTATCACAGAAGCTAAAAGAGAAGTCAGTTTATTTCCCTCTGTCACCTTGGAAAGCCTGTGGCTTTGAAACTACGAAACAAGAAAGGAGGAAAGTAAGGCTGACTGGGCAACGTACATATTCCTTTGTGAATAAATTCTTACAGTCCTGCAGGCTTTCCTAGATCACAACTCTGTCACAATTATCTACAAGTTTCCATTATGTTTTTATTCCATATATCCCTTAAAAACAGTTGGAATGCTTGCCCACTTGATATGTACATTTATGTATTCATAAACTATACATACATTTTATCACACTAATATATTACATATTCCATATACCTTCCTACAACCAAAAGCATTTCGAGAATGAGACATAATATATTTTATGTTTTAGACATACTTTATCTTTTCCCCCAGCTGAAACAAATTATACTGTGCACTCCCTGGGCAATGCTTACCTAACTTTAGAAGGCACTAAGATTTTGCTGTATTGCAGCAAAAGCAGCTGACCAGTATTATACCTGTGTTGACTTTATCATCAACTGTGTATGATAGTTTCAAGTAACCTACATCTACACATCCTTGTCATAGTGGATGTTGCCATGAGGGACCATCTAACCCAGGTAATTAATTATTCTACTGCAGTATCAGCATCGGCTGCTGCTGATTCACTGCTGAATCCACGTAACCCTACTCCTATTCCAGTAGAGTCATCAGTGTCTAGTTGGTGTGGGGGACTAAAGACACATCTTGCAACACAGCAACCTAGAGGGACCCTTTCTAGCCCGAGTCCCTATTTGGTTCAAATGAGGCCTCTGTTAAAATTACTGTCCAGTTCTCTTCCTATTTTCCTATTCCTTGATGATTACAAGAGAACTTGGCCACAAACCCCTTCTCCATGCTTTTTGTGCAGAATCATATGATGCATGTTCTCCTTATTTTTCAAACTGGGGAGATGTAAAATTTGAACTAGGAGGAAATCTGACAGGAAGAATGACTTCTCTTCCTCCGGGTGCCTGAGTGATATTCGCTGACGGACCCATCGTCACTGCTTCTACACAACCGATTTTCCCTGTGTGACCCCAGCCATCTTGCTGCATCTCCATTGCTGACATGACGTCCCCTCCCTTCGCTGTCCGTTCACCTCCTTCCTGACCTCAAGGCTACTCAGTTCCAAGGAATGCTAGCACACTGGCCATGAGCCGTAAGAAGTATCCAAGTTATCCTGGAAGATCATCTCTGAGGCAATTGATTTCAACTTGTTCGAGGCTGTAGTCCTAATGCTACTTTTCTCAATGGAACTGACTTTTGTAGCTCTCCACCAAAGTGAGAGCTGTGTTTTCACAATGCATGCAACAGAATAAGCCACTATTTCCACCTGGTAGGGAGAAACCTATTGTACTGGCGGCCACTAGCCCTTATATAGTGCTTACATTTCCTCTCTTTGAAATACAGAGGCTATCCTAAATATACAGCCCTAAAAGTTGGCCCTCCAGAAATGTAGGCTTTACAGAACAATTATTAAAAGCTTACCAGTGAATCTGGAATACTTTATAAACTAAGAAAATTCAGTTCTATTTTAGTATATATTCTGACACAAAGTACCAACTATCCATAGAATATTTTTCTTAAAAAATAAAAATATGTATGTACATAATCTGTAGTAAAAGGTCTAGTAACTAAAATAGTTTTAACCCTAAATAGCAGGTGTGGTATTTACATTTAATGTAATATTTAGTTCCAATTAATAGACTATTCCAATGAAATATTCTTTTGATAGACAGGTACTTTCATGCTTCATGTGTTATATATTAAAACAGAAGTATATACTCGGTTGACTAACAGTATTAAAAGTAAAACAGAACGTGTTTCACAGTCATTAGGTAGATCACAAGATAACATGTAAAAGATGATGCAGTGCAGGAAGTAAGTATTAAAAATGAAGATTACTCTTTACAACTTACATTTTATTGAGCATACAGAAACTTTCATAGCAAGGTTCACAGAGTCTTGGAAAATAACCCTGGCATCTTCCATGTTTGGATATGTGTTTTCTTTAGTGGGGATAATAGTTCAGCAAATTTACTGGGGACAATGTAAACCTTCAGATTGTCATTATTGAGCTGTTTGAGGGCATGGCTTGTTTTTCACAGATACAGTTCTCCTATTAGTACACTGTTGCACCACTGACTCTAGATGATAGTTATTCCTAGTCACTTTCAGGTAGAATTGCCAGATATAATGGACAAAGATATAAATTAGCATAGAAAATAACCACATATCATTTACTATTGAGTATACAAATTGATAAAAGCTCAGCACTTACCTGTATTATATGCTTTAGTTTATCAATTATCTGATTTATTACTGGATCAGATCCTTTGACTTTGACTTCAGGATTTCCAGATTGGGCTTTGATTCCATTTCCAACCACATGCCGAGTATAGCTAAAGTAGTGAAAAATGGAAGACAAAAGACTTAATCACCTGATCAGTGTAATATCGGTCACACTGCTTCAGATATGTGCTTTCAGAATTTCCTCTAGAAGAGGAATACATCAATATACAAAACATTAAAAAATGTATCACTGTATTTATTCTTGAAACATAAACGGTTACAGCCAAATGTTTTTCTTCCAGGTAAAATGATTATAGTGAAAACAGGCACTATTAAAAAAAACAACATTTGTCTCTTCTAGTACCCAATCAAAACCACTGCATTTCAAATGTTATTTATCAATATGCAGAGAGAATATATATCTTTGTTACAATTGCAAATATAACTGCACTCAATGTGTTGTAATTTATAGATAAGTTCCAATAATATTATATATAGAAACTGTATACACACACATATTTAACTGTAAAAGTCAAAATTATTAACTTTGCAATCAACTATAATTGTAAGACCTTTTGTAAGTAAAGGAAACATTACTCTTACTAAGATTCATCTGTTTATAAAAGGGCGATTTCACAGGCAGTGAAAGCTTTTTGCAAGTTCACTACCTTCCACAATGACAATCATCCAATGTCAACTTAGTATTCACAAAAATATTTAAATTCATTAGTCACACATATGATTAAGCCGCCTCCTGCATTCAGAGTACTCCACTAGTTGAATAGGATTTTAAGAAATTGCAATCCTTGGCCTCATAATGTTCATTACTTCCCTGGGAACACACTATATAATTAAGACATTCTGTGGGCATTCATTCATTATATTTTATTATATTTAAAATATCTAACACATTGTAGGCATATTAATGCCTTTGTTTTCCAGACAGTTTAGTGTAGCATAAAGACAAATAAACAGTTAAAGTGCAACACTATTTGGAGCAGCCAGGAAGGAATAGCATGTGTCAAGTGTGAGGAGGTAAAGATGAGAAGATGTTGAACATTCAGAATATGGAGAACTCTGTTTGATTTCACACACTTGAGAAAAAGCTACACAGAAGTTATATTTTAGGAAGCCATCGAAACAATAACAAAAAAACAAGTTTCTCACAGTATGGTTAATGAGAACTCCAGAACAAAAGATATTATCACAGCAGGGGAAAAGGGGGAACAAAAAAACAAAGGAACAATAAACACAGAGAAGAATAACTAAACCTCCATCTACAAAGTTGAGAAGATAAACACAGGAATGGAGCCATACGCCCAAACTTCTATCCTCTGAGTAATTTGTTTTTATACTCATATAATAAGAGCAGCCTCAGAGACTTTTCAGTGAGAATGTTCACATTATTTCAATATGATTTTCCTCCCATTGAGCAGCTCTTACCTATTCATGTGCATGCTATGAATTGTGTACAATAGCAGAAAATCTTTGAAAGGGTGAAGTTCTGCTATTTAGAATATGGCCAAATGAATGAAGTTTTATGGAGTACCCAATTCTTCCCAAGATGATGTACTCCATGGACCAATTATAAAAAGTCAAACAATTTCACAATAGGTTCTCCAAGTAAAATTAAATAATGGAATTTTTGACACTGATATTATCAAATGCTTATGAGAAGTATAACAACATAAGTAAGTCTTGATTTTTAAAATAAACCCTGAACTGACTTACACAGGCATAGGGTGTTTATAGAATTAGTTTCTTCAGTATCCATTTGGGATTTGAAAGAATACACACCAATAAAAAAAGTACAGGGGAAACTGCTACATTTATGCTGCTACACTGTAATATATCTTCATTTTGGAAGAATCAAGTAAATTTAAATCCTATGTAGTGTTGTTATATTCATTATTCTTCACTCTCTTGCAATATTTCAAGCAGGTTGCATATTGTGGCTCCTTTATTAATGTTGACTATTAATAATGATAATAAATAATATGATTAAATTATACAGATACATGCATAACTATGATTCAGGTATTTCTTTAGTTATTCTATTTGGAATCTATAAATTCATCTTTCTGATAATTACCCATTATGACCAAGACTATGTGCCTCATAGCCCTCAAAGTACAGAAACTCTAAGTGGCTAAAGTCACCTGCTGCTTTACTGTAAGATTTATTTCTTCACCCATCTCATCTTACCACACACAATGCCTGCATGTAGCAGGGTTGCTAAGGCAAGTCAAATTTGCAGGACACAGAGCTTCACCAATGATCAATTTTGGCATAGGATTCCCTAAAGCCTTTGCTACATCTTCCCTAGAAGCCATGAGACTAGAATGCTTCTACTCAACCTTTCTTTCCTCTCATCTTCCCTATGAGTCAGTATTGCTTCTCAACAAAAGCTCCTCCAGCCTCACCAGCTTCTCCATGTCCTGTCCTAGAGCTCTACCTTAATAGCATCCTCTTGTGCTCAACTTCCTTTAACTACCTGTCTCTTGGAGCACCCAGTCTGACATATCTTTTGATATTTGTATTACAATTGTACTCTTTCTACAGATTGAGAATCCAGAATGTGAATAGGCTAAGTAACTTTCTAAAGACCACAGTCTTTGTAAAGTGCACGCAGGGGTTTAAACCCAGGAACTGTGAGCTCTTTTATACAATCATTCAATAATTATTCATCTTGAAAACAATCATGCAATTATCAGTGAAAACAATGAAAATACATTAGAGATACAACTAGCTTCATGTAAAGTTTTTGATTTTGTTTTTGTTTTTGAGATACTAGGAATGGAAATCAGTGTCATCACACTGAGCTACATCTCCAGCCTGTTTTGTTGTTGTCATTTGTGTTTGTTTGTTTTTGTGATAAAGTCTCACTAAATTGAACAGGCTGAGCTCAAACTTGCAATTCTACTGCCTTGGTCTTCCAGAGAGCTGGGACTACATCAGTGCACCAAACACACTTGGCATGCTACTCTTTTTTAATATTACACTATAGAAGGATACAATGTTTATAATTAGGAAAGGTTCTATAATTTCCTTCAAAAGTCTTTTCAGCAGAACTTTTATATTGCAAGCTAAATAGTGAAATAACAGTTGATAGCAAGTTTAGAAGAAATCAACAGAAAGTCATATTTTTTTCTCAGATTTTTAGAAACATAAACATAATACAGGCAATGGAAACTGAGGTGCATATCTTAATTTAAATTAATCTGTGAACTGATTTGGATTCTGAGTTACTTACAGAGTAGACTTTTTGTTAAGATGCAAAAATGCTATTGAATATTATTGATGGAATTCCTCACCTTTTTCTTTTGATCTTATTTATCAGAGATAAATAACTATACTGATTTAGATTAAAATCTATCAAATTATAACTGATGAATAATCAGACTTCCAGCTACTATGTTATTGAATATTTCAAAATAATTGTTTGTATTATCATTCAAATAAGGAACAACACTGCAAAGTAGGAAATTTAAAATATTTCAAGAAGAGTACAGTTAATTAAAATCAGGCATTCTTTTCTGTTTTGGTAAAGCTAAGATTTCATTGTAGTAGTGATACAGACAGATGAGAATGGTTTATGTGAAACAGTGGAGATTGAGTGTAGGAAAGATGCGGGACAACTGCGACTCCTTCCCACCATGCATGGGTCTGGAAAACTATTATGAGCCATTATCTGACACTATGCCAAATCTGAACACAGTATGTGATCCTCATAGGAGCACTAGAAGGTTCAGAGAGGCACCAGTTACAACAGCCCCAAGCTGGACACAACTCAAATGTACATAAGAATTGGCCAATAAATGGCAGTGTATTCATATAATGAAACATTGTGCAGCAATGAGAATGAATCACAACTACAATAAAAAATATCAACAAATCCTGCAAAGTAGATAATAAAGATATAGACTACATTCAATGATTCAAATACATTTTCAAAAAAAATTCTAATCTATGCTCTGAATCTCCAAGTGACTTGAAGACTGTGTCTCAAAGGCAAGATGTTATATTCCTAATTTGGGTTTTGTTTAAAAAAAAAGAGAGAGAGCTCTTTTTGTTCAAAAAAATGTATTGACTTGATACTTAAGATTTGGGCTTTTTACTCTATGTATGTATTTTGATCTAAGTAAAATATTTATATTCAAAATTTCTTCTTCATTTTTCCTTAATATATTTACAACAAACAAATCCTAATTAAGCCATACATAAAGATGGTTTATATATAAATAAAAGACACACATAGGCATTTTTTTCCTCATTCACTTTATTGGTACATTTTAGGTATACAGTACAGTTACATTCATTACTGGGATCTTGTACCTTTACATGACAGGTCTTGGTTCTCTCATATTTTCCCCTTGTTCCTGCCCTCCCTTTACCACTCCTCACCTTCCCTTTTACATTTTATTTCCATTTTTTCATTTTCTCATATTTTTTCTTTTCCCTTATTAGCTTTCCCCTACCCTTCCCACTTTCCCTACACCTTTAGCCCCTTTATTCCTATTTCACATTTCTATTATATCATTAGGATCTTATGTACTATTACAGTTTTTCACACCAGAGAAACTATTCAGTATTTACACGTGTGACTTATCTCAGGAGTACATCCTCAATATGTATCCATTTTCCTATGAATGAATCTAATTTCTCATTTTTTATGGCTGAGTAATATTCTATTTTCTAGAAAAACCACATCTTCTTTATCCAGTTTCCAACTGATAGGCAAATGGGCTGTTTCCAAGTTTTAACTATTACAAATTGTGCTGCTATAAACATAGGTGAGCATATATGTCTGTAATATGATTCTCTTAATTCTTTTGGAAAGATCTCCAGCAGAGGGATGGCTGGGTCAAATGGAACCTCTAGTCCTAGATCTTTGAGGTATCTCCATATTGATTTCCATAATGGTTGCACCAATCTGCACTCCCACCAATAATGGAGAAGGGTTCCTTTCTCCTCACAACCCCGCCAGCATTTGTTATTGTTTGATTTCTAGATAGCAGCCATTCTTTGTGGGGTGAGGTAGAATCTCAGTGTTGTTTTCATCTGCATCTCTTGAATGACCAGTGATGTGGGACATTTTTTCATATATTTA